ACATACTTGCTAATGTTATGTATGTCCACAAAAATAAGAATGACTTTTCAAGATTTAGTAATGTGCATGATGTAAATACTAGGAACAAGCATAAATTAGTTCTACCCTCAACTAGATTGCGTAGAATAAGTAAATCTTTTATGGGACAATGTATACGCTTTTACAACAAAATCCCAGAAAACGTTCAAAATGAATCCGTTGCTAAATTCAAAAAACTTGTAAAGGAACGTTTGTGTGTTAATGGCTATTATAGTATTAGTGATTATATGAATGATAACACACTCTGGAAATGAATTGATCGCTCCAGGCTCTTTCAAGTGGAGTTTTAATAGGAGTTTAATAATTGTACACATATTTGTAATTTTTTTGGCAAGTAAAAAAAATAATGTCCCGCTGAGTTTCTTACGCCGGTTCTTCTCAGGTCAGTGGCTTACCTTCCGAACCGGTGGTAGAGTTTTTTGACTATCAATAAGTAAGTGAATGCTTCTATATTGAATAAAGATATTTGACTTTGACTTTTGACTTTATTCATTAAAAGATGAAGAAATTCATAAAATTATTCACCAAAGACGAAATATTCGGAATATTTTATGTGCGTATGATAATTTTTAGTTTTAAAAATTTTGTTAAATACCCGTGCGAAGCCGGGGCGGGCCGCCAGTAGATTGATAAACACATTACACTCCTTTGCGTAGCTCAGTTGTAAAAAAACACGTCAGATGTACGTTTTTTAAGGGCGGTGGCAATCACTTTCAACCGACTTCAAGAAAGGAGGAGGTTCTCAAATCAATTGTATTTTTTTCATTGTTTGTTACCTCAGAACTTTCGACTGAGTGAACCGATTTTAATGACTCTTTTTTTTATTTTAAAGCTGGTCCTTCCCATGGGGTCCCATCAAATTTCATTGGTTTTGGATCTTGGGCTCTGGAGATATATCAGAAACTCCTGAAAATCAATTATAAAATGAATACGGAGCGAGATATTTGAAGTCAGTTTTGTTTTTCGTTAATAAAAAAATGGACTTGTTGTATTAAAAAATATATATATTTTTGAGAAAACTCTGATTTTGGCGATATGTACGTATTTAGCCGGATTGTATTTAAATTTTTATGCCAGATTAATACATTAGTCGGTGCTGCTGGAGTATTGAATCATACACTATGATTATTTAAAAATTCATGTGGGTTCAAGATCTACACAGTCGAAGCGGCGACTAAAAACTAAGTACTTATTTCTAAACTAGCTTGTCGCCCTCAGCTCTGCCCGCATGTACTACATTTTATATCGTGCTTAAAAAGTAGGCTATTTCGCCTTCCTCAATAAATGGGCTATCAAACAGTGCAAGAATTTTTCTAATCGGACCAGGGATTACCATGAAATTAGCAAGTGCAACCAAACAAACTCTTCAGTTTTATAATATTAGTATTGATAGCGTCTTATTTTGCCCGTCCCATCACTACAAAAAATCTTTCTTGTGCGATTCAGGTCGATATCGGCCCGTCGCTTTGCCTGGTTTCTGGCTCATTTCCTGTTTAGCAGAGCCAGCGGCGAATCAAACCTTAGGAAATTGGAATCAAGGTTCTAATAGTGCAAAAAATTGTATACATAATGTTTTCGGAAAATTATAGCATTTTAATAAGTTCATTAACCCAGTGCTGGCGGAATTATCGTTGGGGGCGCATTTCGACCCGCCGCCACCAGGCGTTTATTTATTTATTTACAAAATACAAATTATAACATGACTAAATTATTACAGACTAATATATATTACTAAACTTACATTTCAATAACAACCGAGCACAACATGCAATTTTAATAATGTATGTAATAAATCATAGTTATAGTTACTAATTTACTTATAACAAAGAAGCAGACCAATGTTCTTAGAGGACTTAATAGTTTTTAAAAATAATGACAAGTTTTGATGAAATATATCTATGTCTCTACATAAATATAAAATATTATATTGTCTACACATTCGAATTAAGGGATTGTTATGAGATACATTATTCCGGGTTAGCGGTATATGGAAAAGATGCTCTCTACGACTAGATTTAGGTGAACATCTCAATGAATTATGGTATAGGACGTCAGAATCAAAGGTGTGATTAACTATTTTATGCAATGTTAAGAGGTCGCTAAGTTGTCGTCGCATAAGAAGAGAATCCAGATTAAATCTTGCAAGTCTGTCATTGTATGTTAGCAGAACTTTTACCAGACCTAGCTTATAACTGAGGCTACGAACAAACCATTTTTGTATTGACTCTAGTCTTTTTATATGATTATTATAGCATGGTGACCATATGATGCAACAATATTCAAGATTGCTTCTTACCAGAAAATTGTAGAGGATAATTAAGCTTTTGATTTTTTTGAAAGGCTCAGTGATTCGATTTATGAAACCTATGTTTTTTCTGTCTTTTAAGATGATTGAGTCGTAATGAGTTCTGAAAGAAAGTTTTGAGTCATACCAAACTCCCAGATCTCGCACTATGTTTACGCGTTCCAGGCGGACGTTTAAGATATTATATGAAAAAACTGTAAGATTCCTTTTATTAGAGAATGTGATGACTTGACATTTACTGATGTTTAGTGACATTTTGTTTTTAGCGCACCAGTCGACTAACGTATTGATGTCGGATTGAACTTACAATACCCAAGGGTTTTATGAGAGCAACCGCACATCGACGTACAAAAATAGGCGGTATTCCATCAGGGCCCGTGCCTTTTCTTGTATCGATTGAGTTAATACAAGACTTAATATCTTTATCAGCAACATGAATAGAGGCTAAAGTGGAGGTACTTGGTTTGAAGTTTGGAGTGTATATAGAATGGTTTGGAGTGCTGTAGACAGTTGAAAAAAAATCCGAAAAGAGATTAGAGATGTTCATCCCGCCCTCAGCTGATTGACCCTTATATAAAAACTTGTCGGGGTAGTTAATTGAGACCCTTTTGGATTTCGTGTATCTCCAGAATGCCTTAATATCTAAGGTGAGGTTCTCCTCCGCATCTGGATCTTAGCTTGGAAAATGTGTCAAAATCTCTCGGGTTCCTATATTTTTATACTTCTTACTTACTTATGTTGGCTTATGTCAAGATTTTATGTGCCGCAATCAAGGTCTTATTACATAATATGACAGACAACACCGTCTTAGGCCGTATCAGGGCCCTAGGGCACACAAAAATATGGGGCCTTGATGGTAAGTAAAAGAATTGAATGGCCACACCATTTTTCTGCTATTATCTTATATTTTTTCTATAAACATCTGTCGGAATATATCTACCAAAAATATAGACAAAATTGTATAGTTTAAGCGAATGTGTAGGCCATGCGGGGCCCCTGTGACGATAGGGGCCCCGTGTGCTTATAGTAAAGATGGTACTGATGACAGATGATATAGTTCTGAGGTCAACGTACATTGGAAGTGTCAAAACTGTTCATTTATTGGGTTCTGTACCCAAAGGGTAAAACAGGACCCTATTACTAAGACTCCGCTGTCTCTCCGTCCGTCACCAGGCTGTATGTGAGAAATTTTAAATTTTCACATATGACTTATTTTTGTTCCCGTTAAAACAACAAATACTAAAAAACAGAAGTAAGTAAGAAAGTAACAAAGTAGACTATATTTTCTGCCGTTTTTTTAGATGACTAGCCACCCGCCGGCTTCGCATGGGTGCAATGTTATATACACATAAACCTGACTCTTGAATCACTCTATCTAGTAAAAACAACCGCATCAAGATCCGGTGCGTAGTTTTAAAGATGTAAGCATACATAGAGATAGACAGACAACGGGACGACTTTGTTTTATAGAGTGATGGTACCGAACCCTTCGTGCGCGAGTCCGACTTGGACTTGGCCGGTTATTTTTAACTTTATATAAACTTACAATCATCATCATTTTACAGACCATATTCAACTGTGGCTATTATATACCATTTTTGGCACAAATCATCAATCTGTTTATTTAAGTAAACTGATTTAAATAAAACTAACACTAAATGTTAAGAGAAGCTTACTTCAATGCATTCGTGAAAGTTGCCGTTGACCGGGCCTGGGATTAGCGCGCACAAACGCAAAAACGGACAAAAATTTTAAAAATCATTGTTTTGGGTTCTATTGCTTTGATAAAGGCCCCCAATTCTTAATAGTTTTTCTCAAATATCTTCCATGTACAGACAATAATTAGGTACATTTTTATTATATTTATGTAATAAAAATAGTATACATACATAAAGTATTTTTTTCTATTTCGTTTTCAGTATCTTTTTGATCTTGTTATTAACCCAATTCTACACACGTTGTAAATTAAATGTGTCCGTTCGTTGCTTATTAACAGCTAGCTTCGTCATCTTATAGCAAGCACTAGCGAGGATTATGTCAATTACCGCTCATTGTGCATTTGATATACCTATTTAACCTGAATGCATTGTGTCACCAGGAGCCGCACGGGGCCCTATGCTGTGTGCGCCATTGTCCACTCCCTATGTGCTGATGTTGAAACGACGGCACACAAGGCAATTCGTGACAAATAATTAGGCGTGGAGCTAACACGGGAATAAAGATTTTCCTGATCATGTCTCGATCGGAATAATCTCATTAAGATTATTGGGTAGAAGGGTCGTGACGTAAACAAGTCTTTGAATACCATTTTTGATTAAAATCACGTAGGGAGCGCCGACTGATTGTTCCTTTGATTAATTCGGTCGCATGTGTAACATCGCCTCGTGGAGACGCCAAGAGCGTCCTTGCTTCCGGGCAGTGGGCAGTGGGCAGCGGGCAGCGGGCAGCGGGCGGCACCGCCACAGCCGACCGCTCCCGGTCATTCATTCGCAGCGCATTTGGCAGCCCACTCGGACTGACTTGATTCAATAGGCATCAAACGTGTGCGCGCGCCGTACAGCTGCGGCTGGCTTCAAGTGTGTATTGAAGTGTCGCGAGTTAAAGACGACTTTAATCGAATAATTCAGAAGGTTGCAGCTGCTGCTATAGCACCACCATGGTGTGGGCTGCAGGCGGGGTGCTGAGACAGGGGGCAACGATTCGTTGCAAATACATTGTTTGGGCAACGTTGACAATGGTCGCCGCAGGTTCGCTACTGCCCCTGGACACGGAGCGCCTTCGAGCCACGGTTGGCGGATTCGCTGTCATGAATTGCCATCTCGACTTTCCTTTCGGCAATGAGATACCTTATCATCTGCAGTGGGATAAAGATGTGAGTACCCTGAGCTATATTGTTTCAATCCCCGATGGAATGACTATCGGGTATTTGTTATTCTTATTGCTTGAAATTTATATTCTGCCCTTGTACATATAGCACGTTGAGTATATCACGCAGGGCGTACCGAGCTTTGTACAATGGCCTCGGACCCTTGTTTTATGGCCTATAACTTCGCAAACCATGGACGCTATAAGATCACTATGCAGATTGCAGACCAATAGTCACGTAACCTTCAGTTATAAGTACTGGCTGTTTATCATTCTTCGTAGTAAGGTAACTACTGTGGATTCCATTACGTGATCCATGGTGAAAGAAAGCGTCGAAAGGAAACTTGTATACCTAAGAAATAATAAAAAATATTTTCCATATATGTCTTGCGCGGTGGGTTATGCCCTAATTAATTCTGAACATTAGAACCATATGTGTTATATGGTATAAAGTATTTTTATCATTTTAATCATTACAATTAACTATATATAATTTAATAATAGGTCTTTTTACCTATAAATGTGCCGTTTTTCAGTACCTACTGGTTATTTCAAACAAAAAAAGTTTTGATTGGATATGAATTCTAAATTAAAATTAATTTTGTTTTAAAAACATCCAATTATTTTAACAAAGTTAGTCAATTTTTTACCTATTGATTAGCTTTGTTAATTTAAAAATTAGTGTAATTATGGAATATGAGTTCCGTTGTGGGACCAATTCGGCACAAACGGGACGTATCATCAACAACGTTTACGGAGAGAACTTATAGACGAACGCACAACCTATTATTGGTTTGTTATTTTCACCGGTTCCGTTCACGAATTTTTGGGGTGGTAAAGGTGATTGTGGAAGCTGATGGTACTCAATCTACAACTGAGGTAGCAGCATCTTTTGTTGTTAGCATGAAAACAATATTGGTCCATTTGCGACAAAATGGCAAGTTAAAAATTCTTCATAGATGGGTGTCCCACGAACTTAAAATTCGCCAGCATAACTTACGCGTCGAGACCTGCCTCGCGCTGCCCAACAGGCACAGAAATATTATAAATGAATTTTGAACCGAATTTATACGTGCGACGAATAATGGATTCTGTTCAGCGGGAAAGCGCTCGGCAGCAAACCAGGAACCTACTTAGGTCCCGGTTCAATACCAAAGCAATGCCCTAAACTAAACGAAAGATGACTCTAGAAAGGTGATGGTCACAGTGGTCTAGTGCCGGTATGATTCAGTTTGGTACTACAATTACTTTAGTTTGGTACCTTTGACGGACCAGAATTACCAAAGTATTTTAGGACCAGCAGGTTTTCTTGGTGGTATTGTCATAAGAGATAATGAGGGGGGGGGGGGGGGGCTTGTATGTGGGTTATATATTTCCCAACTCTATATCATTCGCACACCAAAGCTTTTTTTTAAAGTTGGGCACTGGGAAGGTCGGACACGGTTTGACGGGTCGATCGCGGCTATTTGAAGTCTCCAGTTTCCATTAAAGCATTGTTGTTGTATGACATTGAATGTCATCATAAATGGCGCGTTCGAATAATGTCATATCCTGCGTTAATTGACACGTAATTTATATGTTTGCTCTCGTATCATAAAACTTTTAATAAGTACAGGGGATCGTTGCAACATGGGATGCACCATGATCACCCTGTTAAAGGTTGATAGGGCAAAAAGAAATAAACATGATGAAGAGCGCATAATACACAAGTTATACTAATCTTTCAAGAACTAAATAGTTTTTTTTATGTGAGAAGGTGGCAAGCGAGCGGGCGGTTCCTCTCAATGATGTTTAATAATATAAGTAGATGACGCATGTCCATACTACGTGGCGTTTAAAAATTGGTCCGCTTTAGATTTTAAATATGATATATATAAGTGAATGTGACAGATGGTACAGAACGTATGATACAGAAAGAGATAGCATTATAAAAAAAACAATCTAATTAAACAAATGGTGTAATTTGAATGCTTCAGTTTCGGTGTGCTAGTATATTTACCTCGTATTTGGATATAATATCATTGGTTTACCTGAAGTAAATGAATGAAAAGAATATTAAGTGCCGCCATTATATTAACAGCCGGCCATGGATATTAGCAACACCCGTAAGGTTGCAGACACCTTTTAATAAAGTGGGCCCCGGCTACCTCACTCACCAGACGAAACGTAGAAGTATAACAGTTTCGGTTCACGCCGGTCTTCTGTGAGGTAGCGGTACTTACCCAAATACCCAGACGGACCCGCCCGTTCGTGCAGCAGCGAAATTGTTGCTTGGTAGGTAGTTAGTTATCGTAGGGCCACGGAAACAGCCTTTCTCTTTTTATACAAATATTTATATTTTTTTTATTTAAAATTAAATTAAACTCTTCTAAGAATCTTATGATTTTTCACTTAAATTTTCTTAACGAGATCGTATTGTGAAGAGTTAAAAGGTGTTTAGGTTATTAATATAGGTACCTAGTATATTTATTCCTTTATGAATATTTGATTGTTGTTGAGCTTTATTTAGTTTTTTCCTGTAAAAGTAAATAGGTAATAACTGTTCAGTTTTGTTTTATTTGTTTATACTTCATTTGAAAGGCTGGAAAAATGGGCGGATTAATGGCTTATGGCATTCTCTACCAGTCAACGCTTGTCACATTGAAAATTTCGATGGCAGGTGCTAAACCGAAGAGTAAACATAATATATGTATATATATTTGTTTCGATGTCGCGGGGTTCTATCGAAACGCAGTGGCGGGACGCGCGTACGCGTGTGTCCTCGGGGGGCACGTGCGCAGCGCCGCGTTGCGGTCGGCCTCATCTCACGTCCGAGGCTGGTGGGCAGGAAACCCGAGCCCATCACCTCCCGCGCCACTCGCCCGCCTATTTATACATACATTTCCTGAACACGTTCAAGCGACCGAGTCTTGCTCTGCTATCGTTTAAATCATTAATTATTGTCATTAATCAATGTGGTAGGGCAGTACAGTACGTTTCTGATGGCTTAAACAATTGGAGTTACTTTCATTAATAAAGTATGTAAAGTAAATTTAAGGTATAAATGTTAAATAAGCACATTCAAAAGTTATTTAGTTGGGCATTTGTTTCATTTAACCATGTCCGAAATCACCTCGGTACCTACGTAAGAATTACTTACACAATAAAAGAAGTAAAAGAAACGAATGCCGGACAACGGTCTGGCGTACGACTAGGCAGCGGACGGTGGCGGTGTTGCTCTACATCTGTAATCGCGTAAACTCGGCGTGGCAGTGTGCGTGGGCGTGGGCGTGGGCCAATTACCTCGTTGCGCGCAGCCCTCGGCGGGCGCGCTGCGCAGCTAGCGCGCATCAGCGGTCCGCGAGCCCGAATGTCATGGACCGGCAAACATTCCGATGCACCATCACAAATTGGCTGCCTTCAAAGTGGTGACGCTGGCGTTTCACATTAATTTATTATTAGAACTTCACACCAAATCTGACCACAAGTTATATAAAGAAATGCTTAGCCTCTGCCTGAGCATTTCTTTATATACGTAAAAAAGCTGCTTGGAAAAGTAACGACTATAGTATTAGACACATAGACCATTATTGATTAATTCAAATGCAGATAAAATTAATGTTATAAAAAAGGGAAGCAAAGCATATTCCATAAGTTGTTCCATGTTCGTTTTCTAAACATATGTGAAAATGCCCTTACTGTAGAATAGCATTATCCTGTGTTGTAAGGATGTCGTACAAAGATAAGTTTCATGTGAACTAACACCCAGATACCAAACAATTATTTGTGGGTAAACAATTAGTTGTCCTGGTGGAACTCGAACCCACTACGTTACGGATTTGTCTGAGGAGTTTCTTTAATTGAAATCTTGTTCAGTCAATGCCAACATCTCGGCGATTGCGAGTGATTAGACTAATGGCGCGGGCCGCCTGCGCTCGTTGTTTAATCTCACAGCGGCAACCGACGTTCCTCTCCCACTTGGTCGATTGCCCTTGGACTCCCGTCCCCGTTTGTTCCTCCTTTATTGCGCGTCACAGGTGCGAAATGCGTTTTCCCCCCGCGCTCAATCTACTAAGTCCACTTTAGGTACAAGCGTATCGTTGTGATGTTAAAATGCGGCATTTCACGTTTCAGGGCGAAACAATATTCTCGTGGTACAGTGGAGACGAGGCGCCACGTGTGGCCGACAGGTGGGGCGGACGCGTGCGGCGACTCGGCGACGGCCACATGGGCCTCGGCCGCGGCTCCATCAACGTGAGCGCGGTCCGGGAGACTGACGCAGGCCTCTACCGCTGCAGGGTCATCTTCCCCAACCGCTCGCCGCCTGCACGCAACAATGGGACCTTTTACTACCTCGACGTGGATGGTGCGTTTGCTATAATGTAATGTTTTCGGCGATCCGTGTTCGTATCTTATGAAGTAAAATATTATTAAAAGTAAATTTATTTCCTAGGAGGGAACTTAATCGTCACTCCTCCTATGAATGCCACGGTGTTGGAATCAGATCGTGCCGAGCTCGAGTGTATGCCGAAGGATCCTGAGTCTGCTGTGCAATGGTACAAGGAGGGCGTCGCTCTCAATGAACTGCCCGAGTTAGCGCAACGCTCAGAGCTCCCGACGAACGGTAGCTTAGTGATTCGCCAAGCAGCCAGCACAGATCTCGGCGAGTTCGAGTGTCGCGTGAGTTCACCCGATGGGCAGCTGCAGAGCGCCAGTGCATTCCTAGATGTACAATGTGAGCTCAAATAATTGTCAGTTTGCGATTTAACACGCAACTTTAAAAGTTCAATTCAAGTAAGGCTTCGCGTGTTATTTGCAGATAAGGCTAAAGTAGTGTACTCACCGAAGGAGCGGTTCCTACCGTTCGGCAAGCCAGCGAGTCTGGACTGTCACTTTAGCGCCAATCCGCCATTAACTAATCTCCGATGGGAGAAAGACGGTTTCCTTTTCGACCCGTACAACGTGCCCGGCGTATTCTACAGCATGAACGGCAGTCTATTGTTCAATCGTGTGAGTTTCCAAAAATGTAATCCGATGGCAGTCTTTCGTGTGGAGCATAACAACAATACGGTGTTCGAACAGGTAGACGAGTCGCACGAGGGCGTTTACTCGTGCACGCCGTACAACGCGCTGGGCTCGGAGGGCGCCTCGGCGGGGGTGCGCGTGCGCGTGCAGAAGGCGCCCGCGCTGCTGGTGCGCCCTCAGCCGCTGTACGTGGCGCGGCTCGGCGCCGCCCTCACGCTGCCATGCGCCGCCTCGCACGCCCCCCACGGCCCCCGCCCCGCTCCCGCGCTTCGCTGGACAAGGGTAAACGGGAGCGCAACATTGTACAAAACATTCCACTTGACATACATATAATTAGTACCCAAATGCCATCGGCCTTTAGGTTGACGAGTAATGGTGAGGCCTCTCGTTAGAAATGTTCATCGTTGAATGTTCTCTGTAAGGTGCTGTATGCTGTAGAGGATGCACACTATATGCCGTCTAGCATTGCTAAAAATTAGTGTCCGACCGAATGGTCGGTTTCGGTTTCGGTTTCGGTCACCAAACCTGTCGCCAAACTACGACCGAAACCGAAACTGCATTCGGGAGTTCGCGCGCTATCATCGGTTATGATCAGCGCGTCAAATTCAAAAATCCAAAATCAATGCAAGCAAGCGACGAAGACTAGCGATGGGTCGCTGCATGTTTTTTCGTCAACGTTGATTCATGTTCGTCAATGTGAAGCTGTCATTTTGAATGAATGAACGGATTTTATTTGACGCTGCGACGTTCGAGTCTAAAGCGTCTGACAGCTGACTAATTAATAAAAACACTTTATACAATTACAGACTCTTGGCATCCGATTTCGAGTTCTTCCTGTGGACTGGTATAACATTGGCAATTTTGAGTTCATCAGGGAAAATGCCTTTTTTATGCACTAGTTAAAGAAACCATACAATGGTTTTGCGCGAAAATCTGTATTGTCTTTTAATAATGTCATAGGAATATTGTTAAAACCACAAAATTTCTTGCAATTCATTTTTTGTGTGATCTTGCGCACTTCATTTTTTTTTTATAAAATAAATTCTACACTACAGACACTTGGTCCGTACCTTTTTTAAAAGTTGCGTAGTTTTATTAATACACTGCATGTTGTTGCGTACTCTCTTAACTACATCGACTAAGACTAAAACTTACAGCTACAGCAGTGAGGATTTTTTTTTAAATATAATTTATATGTTATACTAAGTAGTGTACTTATATGCTAATATTTGTTACAGTTTTACTTATTATATCTTACTCTAATATTAAGGTAATTATTTGCTATAATTCTTCTCCTTTTTGTTTATTTTGCTTTTTTTTTTTTTTTTTTTTTTTTTTTTTTTAGTGTGCTACAAGGAGTTTTTAATTATTCTAGTCCTTATTCTACGTGCATTCCGAGACTTCCGAATGCCATGCAGTTACCCAAAAGAGCAGTCAGAGCTCTCTTAGATGTTGAGTTTTGCTAGGCTGTCCGTAACCGCTGCGTTCCTGTCTCGAATTGCCATTTTTAAATTGTAGTCCACTATAACTTTGCTTCCAGCGCTCGTGGCTTGGCCTATAAATCTTCCCCAAGCGTCACTGGAGTCGTCAGCGTAATAGACACAGGTTGCAGTGTGTCTTGATATAGCTACCACTGCATGTTGCACACTCTCATGGAGTTTGATTTTTGTTGCCTGTGTCTTTACTATCACCACCGAAACCTGAGTTAATCCCTGCGCTTCGAGGATGGTTAGGACTCGCCATCCCGTGCCAGAGCCAAATCCCTGGTTCTTAAGGGATTCTTTCTCCCGTTGAGTGTACACTAGATACAAGGTGTTTGGGGAGTTTTTTGGTATGTTGGCTCCAGCAAAGGTTTCGCGGCGCTGGGAGTGCACTTCAGGGCTGTAGCTAGAGTTGAATTTGAGGTAGGGCAGCATTGATTACAGGTAGGGCGGAAGTAAACAATTAAATTAAATTTATCATAATTGATTTGCCCTCGAAGCATGAGCTCCTTCTTGTATCTTGTATTAACTGATGTTTTTACTTTCAGTCCCGAGACTATTAAAGCTTCATCTGACGCAGAACCGGTGGACTAGCAAGAACCCACGGGTTTGGGCCCTCCGCTGTGGGTAGGGCCACGCATGTGCTCATGCGTGCGTTTAAGTATGGTGTGTCATCTACGGGCCATCGAGGTCGCGGTTCGGACCGAAACCCCGATGGCCGTCGACTGTGCAATTAGCTAATCGGTGGCTGGGAGCGGTGAGAACCGCCCCGGAACGCGGGTGTACCTTATGTACGCGTCGTGTTGGTCTCGCCGTGCGAGGGCGAACTAGTGTGTTTGTTGTTGCACTAACTGTGGGTATAGTGTTATCCAGCGGGACCCCCGGCGGTGGGTCCATCGTTTCTAAGTCCTCTTCGTCGCTCAGGTCGATGAGGACGTTTCGCGGGCGACGCTTGTTGACGTTCGCATTTGTGTCGGGTTGGTAACTTGCTGCGCTTACCACCAGAACGTTGGGATGATGTTGGGCTCTATCGAAGTCAGTTTGGTCAGGTCTTTAAAATATTCGCTTATCTTCGGGACTCGCTGTGCAGGTCGACGTTGCGTTGATACCACTGCGCACCGGTTGCGCGGCGGATGAACTTATTTTGTAGTATTTGCAACTTGTACAAGCGAGTAGGGTGCGTGTGGGCGAAGGTCATGCATGCGTAGGACATAATAGATCGTACGCAGGTCTTATATAATAATAATTTGTGCCTTAAGGGCATTTTACTTTTAGCGTTAGTTAAATTGTGTAGCCGGCCGGAGAAGAACGCGGCTCTATTGCGAATGTTATTAATGTGCGTATTAAATGACATACGCGAGTCGAAAGTGACTCCTAAGTATTTGACCTTTTTCTCCCAGGGGAGCGGTTGGCCATAAAGGGATATTTGCCCCAACTAGCATGAGCTCCTAAATCAATAATCATGTATATCACTGACCTCTAGGTCAGTTCAATATCTATTCGTAGACAAATAATTTCTGTGACAGAACATGAGCATGGATATAAGCACTATTAAATCGTTAATGATGAAGAATAAGCGAACAAGATGGTTGAACTTCCAGCTTTGGATGTAGAGATCCACGTCTGAGTGAGAGTGAGGTAATAATTAATTTTTGGATGAGATGATACGACCAAAAATACCACATATCAAATTCTTTCTGCAGACCTATTATAATAATTAACATAATAATAAAAATATTTAAAACAGCTGAACTTTTCGATTCGCCATGTTATTAAAAATGCGAAGAACTTCGTTCAGATCAACTGATTTTTTCTTTTTTTACCAAAGATCAGTAATACCATACCAGCCATTCTCTCGTGACCCATTGACAGCCTTTGAGGCCTATTGATTGCAGTTAAAGTTGAAAACGTAGATTCGCACCCTGCAGTGCTACATCCTATGGTCGCCACAGAAGCAAAAAGTTCATATGTATCTTTAAACGCCTCTGGTTGCCTGTACAACACTTGCAATGTATTTTCCATTTTGTCCTCGTTACGACTCAAGTAAACTTTAACCACACTACCCTACTTGAATTTTAAAATTTTTTAAACTTACCCAAACTTTTCAGTGGTAGCATCTACATCCAACTCATGGAGACTTGCAATCGAATTGATTAGATCATCATCATTCAATTGCCTATTTTATTATTATTTTATCCCTTAAACGAGCAATTCTTGTATATATATACATATATAATCGGAATCTCGGAAACGGCTCCAGCGATTTTCATGAAATTTAGTATGTGCGTAGATTCGGGGGCCAAGCATCGATCTAACTGTTTCATTTTTAGAAAATGTCCTTTTATCCCTGTTTTCAGGGAATGAAATATATCATTCGAATATGTCGGTAAATTTCGCCGCAAAAAAAATTTTATAACAGACGGCCGCGGTTCGTATCACGATCACACACTTATTTTTTTTACTTTTTTTTCTATACCTGATCATTGCTTTCTTTATTTTTTTTTATTTCCAAAATACATTATTTACCAAAAAAAAAAAACGAGCAAAGCTCGGTCCTTCAGGTAATTTTTTATACGAGTACACAGAACAAAGAATTATTAGAATATGAAATGAATGTACACACACTGGTAATGAGTTGATCGCACCCAAGCTATTTCTAAAAGAAAGAAAAAAAACGGTTGTATAATATTTAAATTTTTTAAGAAAAAAATTACGAATAAGAGGATACCTGCGGGGTTTCTTTCGCCTGTTTCTTCTCCGTTAGAGGAACCTCATGATGAAACGGTGGTAGATTAAAAAACAATACTATCGATAGATGAAATGTATGTTTCCTAAGTCCATAAATAAATTATTTTGATTTTGACAAACAGTGGTATGTTCGGAAAAGTTGAGATACCTATCGCTACAATTTTTATTACAATAATGTATCTTAGTTTTTGAATGAATAAATGAATGAATACTTTATTGTCCACCACACAAAAGAGGATACACAAAATTAACAATAGACAAACAAATTAATGGAATGCACAATTTGGTAGCCTTATCACTTCATAGCGCTCTCTTCCAGGCAACCAATGGCGTAAAGGAACTTTACTACGTAGGTTGTGCAATAGTATAGTATATAATGCAGTAGTAGAATTTAACAGCCTGTACGGTAAAAGATTTTACAAAAAATTACGTTTTGTGGTTTGGCACCTTTATAATGAGCTTCCTCGAAGAAGGTAGGATCTTCCCCTAGAAGCCCTACAAATTAAAATTTCTCCTTTAAATAAAGTGGAGTAGAAACATGAAATAGAACACAGTAGGTACAACATAGAAAGTATATACAAATTCCGGTGAAGTAGGATGGGAAATCACTTGAGACGTGTACGAAATTGAAAAACGTCATCATATTTACGCATTTTTATTTTGGCATTTTTAAGGTAGGGCATTGTGATTTTAAGGTAGGGCATTGCCCTACAATGCCCCCCCTTAGCTACGGTCGTGGTGCACTTGAGACCTGGAAGAGTATACGCCACTGTAGATCTCTCTGAGGGCGTACGCAGAATATGTTTTTACAAGCTAAAGATGTGACAAAAATAAACTTACGGAACCAAGATAAATTAGTACTAGATACAATTCCTAAAAGTAAGCGCTTTCAAAAAAATAGCTATGCAATGTGCAATACTATTTATAACAAGATACCCTCACATATAAAACAATTACCATATAATATGTTTAAAATTTCGTTACGACGATGGCTACTAGAGAATCTATTTTACACAATAAATGAGTTTTTAAATTGTAATACCTAATTAATGTTGTTAATATTATTTCATATATTATTTTTTTGTTTAAAATCGATGCATTAATTAATTAATATATCTATTAAAATTGTAGGACAATTTTAGTTACATGTAAAAAAACAAAAAAATAAAAAAAATTAGACAACTGTATTATAAAAATATATCTTCTGGACATTTGCATGCTGTTTAAAACAGCTAAATAGGTTAGGTTGACATTTGTGACAACAACAAGATAACAAGACCAAAATTTTTTTTCTGTACTACCTATTTATCAGCAAATAAAGAAACTTAAACTTAAACGCTACATCCATGGGGTTCTTATGTGTGCACCTCAGTTCTTTGTTTATGGAGGCGATATGACTCGGCCGAGTGTACTGCATTGGGAAGAGGTGTTCTCTGTCAATGTATGGCAGTTGATTGATATCACCAATGAGCATGATTTTCTTCACCTCGCTCAGTCTAGCTGCCATTATTGTGGCTCCGAAGTGGTTCATTAGCGCTTCGTCAACCAGGAGTCGAGTAAGTTTACCCTTTTCTGATTCCTTCACGCCATTCACCAATACCGAGGCCATTGTGCGCACCATGTTGTTTGCGGCGGCACCTATGCGGTTGGCTAGCTTCGACTTGAGGTCTTTTGCTGCTTCTGTGTTTGTGGTGATCACCAAGTCGCTTTCCGCTTCCACATTGTTAACGACCCGTGCTGATTTGCCACAACCTGTTTACCCAGGTTATTTCTGGTGTGTCCCAGTTGCGCCAAGGATTCGTCGATTCGACAGTTTCCATTATTGATTCGGCTGTTGCCAGGATCCTATCGTCTAACATAACCTTGGTGCACCGGGCAGTCACAACTATGTGGTCACCTGGCGGAGTCGCAAACACCGGTTTGCCTCTTTTCTCCGTTTCTTTCTCCATGATAGGCACAAAGCCAGCAGACTCGCAGTATGCCACCATGTAGTTTTCAGCCATTTTGCCACATACGACATTGGATGTTTTGTTGTCGTATATGGCAGCTTCAGCCTCCGCAAGTTTAACCCTTAGCGATTCCTCGACTCCTAGATGGAATGTGTGCAAAATATCCTTGCACTTTGCGAGGCTCGCTTGTGATGTTGCTTTTATTCGGGCTATGTACTCTAGGAAGGCGTTCAGCATGTGATCTCTAGGCCCTGTTGGTTGTTTTAGAGCTGGTGGATGTATATTTATTTTCCCGGGTGTTCTGGGTGGCTGGATCCTGCAATATGGTCTTTTTGGCGGAGCTCTTGATGGACTGCCCAGTATGGCTCACGTTGTGTCCCCTGCTTCATTAAGTTTGCGCCTGCTTGTATGGGCTATTTCCGCGATGTTTTTTGCTGCGGCGCTCAGCGCCTCAAGCAAGGGACTAGCCTCTCTTCTTTTTCGAGCCTTATGAGGCTCTTGTGCCCGGGCTTCACTGGCACTTCGTTTAGAGATGTTGATCTTAGTGTCATGTCATCTGCAGCTCGATTTGTATTTCGCTTAAGGTATGTTATTGCCATCTCAATGTCTGTAGCGAAATTATTGATACTATGATCAAACTTATGAACAAAGGTGTCAGTAAAGGAATGTCATGAAAAATGTTTTTGTCCATCCTTAGCATTAGTTGGGTTTGTTTTGTATCTGCTAGGTTCCTGTGCCTGTTATTTATTTATTTAAAAATTTATTGAATACACCTCAACTTAAGGCTAAATAAAAGGCAAACTTAATGCTAATAAGCATTCTCTTCCAGTCAACCCTGGGAGTAGAGAAAGCTAATGAGTTTATTTATTTATTTATTTTGTTACACCAACAAGAGTTTTGTTGAGAGAGTTTGCACATAATTTTCCATAAATTTATGGAGCGAGCTATCTCATCTTGAACTCTTGTGAGTGTTTTTATGCTAGTCTAATTATTTTCCTATAAATTCTCATATATTTGTTACGATACCTGACGACTGAATCATCCTAATTCCTTAAGAATTAAATTATTTGCAGAAAGATGGCAGTGAACTACCGATTGGGCGGTACTCCCTGGACGGCGGTAATCTCACCATCAGCGACATAGCGGAGGAGGACCGTGGCGTTTACGTTTGCACCGCCACCAACGAGGCAGACGACGTCTCCGCAGAGGCTGAGCTACTCATCGAGAATGTTCCGCCGCGAGCGCCCTATAATCTCAGCGCAATACCTACCGCCGATTCTATACATGTGTCCTGGGTACCAGGTACATTGTTAGATAGGTTATCAGTAAATTCAAAATGTTCAAAACCAAAACCTTATGGTGAGCGGTAACCGCCACTTCTTTTTATTTTTTTCAGTCATGTACAACTGATGGGAATTTGGTCAGGAATCATGAGAGAAGTACGATACTCTAACCAAAATAATATAAAAATGTTAAAGGTCACAATGGGCTCGAGGTGGATTACAACGTGTGGTATCGGGAGCGGTCCGTTAGCGAGTGGCGCACCATGAAGATACTCACACGCGGTGTCACTGATGCAACTTTGGTGGGGCTGAGCTCCGGCACGGAGTACGAGTTGCGAATCTTGTCTCAGGATCACATTGGTGACGGCCTCTTTAGCAAGCCGATATTCGTTCGGACTCTTGGTATGTTAAGAGTTAATATTTTTTGCTATGGATTCTGGTCCAAATTCTGTGAGGCTGATACTGTGTTACAGAAGTGGAGGTGGGTGAGGATGCTGCCACGGCGTCGGCGGCTGCCGCCACGGAGGGTGGATCAACCTTGGACTTCGGCGAAGAGATGGAGGTGACGATTCGACTCATCGACGAGGGGGCCCTAGTACGCTGGAGCCGACCTCCTCTCGACACCAGCCGATGCACAGTGCGCTGGTATCGCGGAGAGGCGCGCGAACCTATCGCCACCGCGCACACGCATCACGACTATCTTCTGGGTGGGTTCCTCGCGTTCCTATGTATTTCTTCATTTATCAGAAAAGCAAATGGCAAAAAATAAATGTTTCATGTTTTCCGATTCCGATGTATATAAATAAGTAGGTATCCCTAGAATAAGTAGCTAGCTTTGTAGATGAATGTAATTAATTATTGTTAGACTTGCAACGAAAAGTAATTTAGAATAGCCGAATATGAGCAGGCGCACGACGCGAAAACTAGTATCAACGTGATTCTAGTCCGCGCCGCGTGTTTTGACTAATTTACTTTGAACACGCAGTAAATATGAAACCATAGTTTATCGTTCTCTTTACATGTAACTCATAATTATCGATTATGGACTCTTAAAGGACTATCGCTATGGATAAATCAAGGAAAGATAAGGAGTAAAATACTGCTTAAAATGTAAAAAAAACATTCTGAACAAATATTTGATTTCTAAATTATAATTGGGATTAAATTTGGGAGAATACACATTTTAGAGCAGTGATAGCTGTGTCCTAACTTTTAAGGGTGCTAACTTTTAATTCAACATACTCAAGCAACTTGCGTTCAAATTCCGGTGCCGGCGCCAATGAAATTGTTAATTTTAAGTGCTGATTTATCACGTGCACAGCGGTGAAGGAAAAAATCGTGAGGAAACCTGCATGTTTTCGAAATAATAACAAAAAAGAACTATTTCGCATATGTGTGAAGTCTGCCGATCTCTAATGGCCTCGCGTGGTGGATTATGCCTACTTGTATCTTGTATTAACTCATGTTTTTGCTTTCAGTCCCGAGACTATTAAAGCTTCATCTGACGCAGAACCGGTGGGCCAGCCAGAACCCAAGGGTTTGGGCCCTCCGCTGTGAGTAGGGCCGCGCATGTGCTCATAAGTGCGTTTAACTATGGTATGTCATCTAAAGGCCATCTAGGTCGCGCTTCGGACCGAAACCCCGATGGCCGTAGACTGTGCAATTAGCTAATCGGTGGCTGGGAGCGGTGAGAACCGCCCTAGAACACGGGTGTACCTTGTGTACGCGTTGTGTTGGTCTCGCGAAGGCGAACTAGTATGTTTGTTGTTGAACTAACTGTGGGTGTAGTGTTATCCTGCGGGACCCCCTTCGGTGGGTCCGGCGTATCTAAGTCCCCTTCCTCGACCGGGTCGATTAGGACGTTTCGCGGGCGATGCTTGTGCGCTTACCACCAGAGGGTTGGGATGATGTTCGGCTCGATCGAAGAAAGGGACGTAGGGTAGGTAAAGGTAGGTCGACGTTGCGTTGACACCACTGCGCACCGGTTGCACGGCGGATGAACTTATTTTGTACTATTTGCAACTTGTACAAGCGAGTAGGGCGCGTGTGGGCGAAGGTCATGCATGCGTAGGACATAATAGGTCGTACGCAGGTCTTACAGAATAATAATTTGTGCCTTAAGGGCATTTTACTTTTAGCGTTAATTAAATTGTGTAGCCGACCGGAGACGAATACCCCATACAACAGACGTGATTTTTTTTTTTTTTTTTTTTGCGGTTTTTATAGATAATGGTGCGGAACTGTTCGTACGCGAGTCCGACTCACACATGTTTATTTACTACTTAAATTTTTTAGTGAAAATATATCTTCTCTATATTATAAAGAGGAAAGATTTGATTGTTTGTATGTATTGAATAGGCTCCGAAACTACTGAACCGATTTGAAAAATTCTTTCACTGTTGGGAAGCTACATTATCCCCGGTTGATATAGGCTATATTATATTTAAAAAAAAAATAGGGAACCTTACTAAAACTTCAATAATGGAACCCAAAGTGTACAAAAATTACCTAAAATACTCTTTACATCGCGTGCGCTGCGAAAAATATTGATGATAGAATAAATTAATGTACTACGAATTTGTAGACCACATCATTATTTATAAAAAGGGTCGCGATAGCATATGTCTAACTATTATAGTTATGCCACAATAAGTGTACTTTTATTTTAAAATTTTGATTGCAATGCCGCCGCTAGAAAAGGCTCTTTATTTGTATCTTGATATTAATCCTTATAAAAATAAATTACTTCGTATTTAAGACTGTTTCAATATCTTTATACAACTTTTTGAATTATTAAATTCGGACATTCTATTCAAGAGATATCACAAGTTTAAAAATGTTAGTATATTGGAATTTAACCATCCATCGTTCTTATAATTTTTCAATCACATTTATACTGGTAATTCCTGTTCGATTATTAGCAAATTATTAAATACAAAGGCAGTTTAATTTTTTTTATAATTTTAATGATCTCATCTTTCTAGAAATAGTTCCCAGGCGAGGGCATCAAAAATACGTCGTAATGAGGAATCTTTACCGGAAACTGAAAATAGTCTTACAAATCGGAGAGAGTCAAGAGTGTTTGCAGCGGCTTGAAGAGCATAATAATATAAATATACAAATTCACACTAGGGAGTCGAGTTCTGAGCGTTCAAAACGCCTACGAGATTAGAGGGAAATTTGTTGTCTACAAACGTCAACGATTAGAGTTCGTAATTGACTTTTAGCTCACAGTAACAGATTAGCTTTAATGCACTAAGCTCAACAGTCTTTTGTCCAAATCGGAGCCATAAATAAGATCTGCTCTAAGTGTTCTGCCAAAAATGGGTCGATGAACCAAATGTGTTGTGCTTCTGGAAAAGTTAGTCTCCCCAATATTGAGGAGCTACCATAGCCAATAAAAAATCTTTTAACGAATAATCATTCACCATCTGGACATTTTTAACCAACATTCGAAAGTGCAATAGCTTCTTTCAAATGATTTCGTTTAGCGTGAACTTTTAAAATAGAGGGACAAGTATACAGGTTATCATCATCCTCCTGCCCCTATCCTGGGAGCCAATGGACTGACCCCTGAGGATAATGAAGATCAGGTGAAGTAGAGGAGTTTGAGTAGGAAGGCAGATTCTGGCCGTACCCGGGATTATTCCAGATAGAAGAAGAGTGTATTCGTCTATTATTATTGTACACTGCCGCCAGGGCAGTATTGTAGCGTGTAATCTATTATATGTATGTATTCTGAATTCTACTCCAGTATTTCTATAACCTAACATTCGTCGAGCTTTCATCGACTATACGGACAGCTCGAATAGTCACTTTGCAAAGCGCAGTTGTGTATTGTTAGGTGTGCACTTCTGAAGCCGAGATCGCATTGGCAGTGAGCCAGGTGGAGGAGGGCGCGGAGTACGAGACGCGCGTGTGGTGCGCGAGCGGGGCGCGGGGCGGCGCCGCGGCGCGCGTGCCGCACTACTCGCGGCTGCGCGCGGCGGCGGCGGCCGCGGCGGGCGCGGCGCTGCTGCTGGGCGCGCTCGCGGCCGCGCTCTGGGCCGCGCGCCGCCGCCTGCGCGCCCGCGCCGCCAGGAGACTCGCGCGCCTCGAGAAGCGCGTGCGCTGACCGTCCGCTCGTGTCCTTCAATTTCATTTTGGCCCGACAAAAATCACCGCTTTATGAAATACAATACTTTTTTTATTAAAATGTAACAAGTGGCACAAAGTTAGTATAAGTAGAACTTTTCTTTTAATATTAGACGTGTGTAAATATAGATATAGCCGTCGATAACTTTTGATTAAGTTATCTCATAGTAAAAAGGTGCCGTGAAAAACGTTATCTCTATTCTTAATATTGTCATAGCTTATTTACTTACTGCCCTGATCGCTACACCTAACACGGTCACGATAGAAATTAAACATAGTCTCAGTATGATGAACCATAATATGGAATAAATAATAATAGTTTACTAGACTAGACAAAACCATGCTGAATTTAACGAAACTCGTAAATCTAGTTTACGGATTTTATTGGTTTCAGCATGGTCTTCTTATGGTCCGTCCCATGACCATAAATAATGCAAAGTATCCGAGTTTAATTTATATTAAATTAAATGTAAAAAAGGTCGTAAATAAGTGTCCGAGTAAGATAAATTATGAACACTTTTATTTACTGCTTAGATTACATATAAATGTCTAGATGCCCTGTCGATTTAACATGTTATGAGACAAAACAACTTTATATAACTCTTAAATATTTGCGTCAACTATATAGTATAATGTTACCTAGTCTAGTAATAGTAGTCTACTATCAAAAAAGTGAAACTTTTGTGCACATTGGTAATTGGTGCGTTTTTGGACTAGGAATCTATCTAGAGTTTAGATCTAGGCCAATGATATTTACATAAAATAGATATGACACTATCGCACCAAAACATCACTCAAATTACATCAATTGGTGTAATTCTATAGATTGATATCTCTTTACGTATCATACGTTCCGTATCATCTGTCACTTTCACATATATATCAGATAACGTAAAGCGGAACAATTTTTAAACACCATGCAGTATGGACATACATCATCTCTATTATTAAACATCGTTGTCTCGAAGTACTAACAAAGTTTCACAGATGTAAACACGTGAAGTGAAGTATTTAATGCAACCTTTATATAAATAACTCCATCACTAAATAGTATTAAACAAAATCGTCCCGCTGTCTGTCTGTCCCTATGTATGCTCAGATCTTAAAAAATACGCAATGGACCTTGATTCGGTTTTTTTTACTAGATGGAGTGATTCAAGAGGAATGTTTATATTTATAATACATTGCACCCGTGTGAAGCCGGGGAGGGTCGCTAGTAATTCAATATAATAGGAATCAAAGACTGTCGCAAAGATGAAATATGTTGAATATTCAGACCTTTTTTTTGTTAAAAGATAAATAATACTAGCGACCCGCCCCGCTTTCGCACGGGTGCAGTGTATTTCTACATAGTATAAAACAAAGTCATCCCGCTGTTTATCTGTCCCAATGAATGCTTAGATAATTAAAATTACGCAACGGATCTTGATGCAGTTTATTTACTAGATAGTGATTCAAGAAGTTGGGCGGGTCGCTAGTTATACATATAAACCTTCCTTCCTCTGAACATTTAAGCATACATAGGGACAGACAGACAGTGGGATGACTTTGTTTTATACTATGTATGTAGTGATCATTATAAAATACATACTTTGAAGAAAAAGAAAACAAATCGATTCTGACCTCGTTGGAACGAAGTTCCTTCCAATAACAAATAATATGTATTAAAACACCTTTGACAGACAAATAGCTCTTTTTCCTTACTTGAAAAATTCTGCTAACCCACTTCGCCCGCTAGCCGCGTTAAGGAATAATTACAGCAACACGATAGTCAAAAGAATATAGAGATCACTCTGTAAGTTCCTTTATTGTCCATATAAATGATGTTCCATAGAAGATTGCCACGTATGTATTTTTAATCATTCGATTATGATGAAAATGTCAATTTGTTTCCAAAGTCTGAAACCATTGCCCTTATAAATGTTTAATTATGATATGACTCAATAATAAAAAGTTTGTGTTGAAGTGTTGATCAACAATTTTGTAATAAAATACAAAAAAAATTGAATTTTAAGCTTATTTATTTACTTTTCCCCTCTTATTAGAGTTTTTATTGTTCCACAGTATTATCTTAAATTAAAAATTAAAGTATTTTATAATTTTTTGATATCAAATCAAAACATGATTTTCGGAAGAGAGTACTCAGGTTCACAAAAACTTGGGTAATCATTCGAATCCATACTTTCCACATTGTTATATTAGGTACAAAGCAAAATTCAGGCGGCATTCGGAAAGTTATTCATAACGACTCGACTGAAAGTTGACGTTTAGTTGCTAGGAGAATTAAAATTTTGTGCCAAACAAAAAATCATCGTCGTTATTTTCGTTCTGAAATTCTCCATGCTACGCAGTGCATTTGTTCCAGTTTATAAGAGTTCCAATTCCAGTTAACAATAAAAGTGCGTCGGTCGGTCGGTCGGTCGGTAGGTTAGGTTAGGTTAGGTTTTTTTTTTTTTTTTTTTCCTTCCCCTGTTCCCCTGACATAGATACTCAGGGACCTTTTTGTTCTTTTTATGGTTTTTAAGCTTTTTTCAATGAGTTCTTAAAATTAATATTTACAATGTTAAGTGCCAGGACTTTTCCTAGTTTTCTTATTTTTGTAACATGTTTCTTGAGTATACATTTATATTTAGTCTTCTACGCACTAACTTTACTTCTTTTTACTATATCTAATTACAAAAATCTTATTTATTACATACTCATATTACACCTAACATTATACACACTTATTTATTAGCTTGAATGTTATAATTACCACGTGTACATTTATATGTACATGTGCAATTCTGATTGCATCCGCTATTATTTCCTATCTTATTTCTAAAGTTACAATGTTATAGCGCTTATACTATTTCATTATCCTTACTAGTTTATTAATATATAACTAATAGTAAATAAAGGATTTACTATTTAGTTTATTATGTTTATACTATTTAGTTTTATTTTACACTATACTTATCTAGCTTACAGTTTTAGTTCTATTAATCGACATTCTTACAGGTTAGGGGTACGAAGTGGTTCACATGGGAGGTATACTGTATACTGTCCTTCATATATATATATACGTCGTGATATCTATCACAGTTGATGTACTTTGTATCTAGATTTATTTCTTACTTGCTACCGATAGCTTACTGGCGCCGCATTTATATGCCGTTATGATCTACATTCCCGCTTGCAGCATTTGTCCCACCGTCTTGTTTTATATCTCAGTACTCATCCCTGCGATGTGGTTCTTGAACTTTTTTACTTAGTTCAGTTTTAGCTAAATGCGCCAGGTTAAATACTTGTTGCATTTCAACTCTAACCTCACCAAGTTTTGGAGTATTCCCCATCATCCCAGAGATTGAGTAGAATGGTGCTTACTTGTGCCGCTCGCGTGGAGATAGAGACCTCAGTAAAGCTCCATACTCTTTCTTTGGTTTGCTGCCATTTTTGCCGTTCGCGCATCGCACCTATCTCTTCTTGCAAACCACTTTCCCCCGCTTTATATGCGTCCTTTCTGTTAGTGACGTTTTCCAAGAGCTTATTCTGTCTAAATTGGTAGCTGGAATTCCCCGGGGCCATTTCAGCAGTATGCTATCGATGACCGCGCCAGGGCGTCCCACTTCCTTCTCACGGGGCAGTCGGCGCTGAAAGCATTATGCTCTCTTTGCTCGAGCTTTGCTCTCAGGCAGTTCTTACAGGACGGTGGATCTCCCGAAAGCCACTCAGTGCACTGGTCCCTGAGGTGAGGGCCACCACAATGGCTGCACACATCCACCTTCTCCGTGCACAGCCTTTTGCTGTGCCCATACCCCGGGCACCTAGAGCACTGAATAAGCGGGGATTGGTCCTCCACTCGAACCCGTTGCAGATCCACGTGGATTATGCCATTTTCAATCATGGCCATCCAGACACGTGGCGACACTTTCAATACAATATGGGATGTGAGTGGGTTCCTGGCCTTTTTCCTAAATTTGACCTCCATCCTAAGGTCGTCCCCACTCACTTCCGACAATAGATGTTTATTTTGTGTTTTAATGGCTTTTATGATGTCGTCATCTGTGTTATATGCCATTACATCTTTTATCACTACTAACGGGTCCTTGTTCTTTATGTCCTCTATATTTAGCTGCGTTCCTTCTTTTACCAATTTCTCCTTGATCTTCTCCAACTGTTCTCTTGTGTTACAACCCACTATCACTTTTCTGTCTCTGGCCTTTCTGATTTTATCTATTTTTAGTCCCTCGTCCTTTGCATTTATCGCCTTCCTGATTTTGTCTATGACCTGGTCCCCTGTGTCCAGTTCATCTTTTGAGGTTATTGCCACAGAGTGTGTGGCCATATGCCTCAGTGTCTGGTTCGGATGTATATTTGCTACTTTGCTTGCATAAGTCGCCCTGTCATTTTTATGGACCTGTTCTTTCATCATTTCTTCCTTATTTTCTTCAATAAGTTTACTGTGTTCTTCCAATCTTTGAATAAGTTTATCTTCTGCATCCTGTTTTCTCTCTCTGTTTTCCGGTACCTTTTGTTCTATTTGTTCTTTGTCTTTGTCCTTTTGTTGTTGATTTTCCATTTCTAGTTTTCTTTCTTTTTCTGCTTCTTTTATGATTTGTTACATTCTTTCTATGCACTGTGTTACTTCTGCTTTTATTTCGGCTTTTAGATTTCGCGAGTTGTTCAAGTACAATTTCGCTTTATTCAGGCAGGCTCTTGCTTCGGCCACTCTGTCGGGTTGCTGTTCTTTGGCTACTTCGGGTGTTTTATGTGCCTCGTCTATCGATAGTCGCCGTTTTCCACCTTGAGTAGGTATATTATATTTTAGATTTACAGATGTTGTCGCCGTCTGTTTGGATTTTGTTGTTTTGTCCGCTTCCCATTCCCCGATACTGCGTCTAACGTTTTGTACTTTCAATTCTCGAGAGGGAGATATTGATGTGCCTGCCGCCTCACTATATACCGGGGACGACCTCTCCATATCCTTCTGCGGCT